GTGGCACCGATCACAAGGATCAATCTAGAACCCCCTCCCAGGGGGACATATAATGGTAAAGTGGGTGAAGGGTGATGGAGGACAATGTAAGACATGGAAATAATAATCTATAACTTATCAAGGATTCATGAGGGAGGTCTGGCTGGGGAGGGAGGGAGAAGAAATGGGGAGCTGATATCAGGGGTTCAAGTGGGAAGAGAATGTTTTGACAATTATAATGGCAGCATATGTGTAACTGTGCTTAACACACTGGAGGAATGTATACATTGTGATAAGAGATGTAAAAGCCCCCAATAAAAGTATTTTTTTTAAAAATACAAGCTCTCCCACCTATTCTACTGATGAGTTTCCATATCCAAATAAGGAGATCTTTGTACAACCCACCTAGAAATCACAGGAACTTTCCACTGCCTTCTGTTTCATGTCATTTCATTTTCTGAATCTTAATTAATTTTAGTAAAAATGAAATTGAGAAAAAGATGATTTCTTTTTATGAGCAGGCTCTTATATAAATAGAGTTCTAAATGCAGAGAAACCCGCTGAACCAATGCAATGTTCCTAAGTCTGTGTCCAATTTGGAGTAGCACTATCCTCACCTGTGCAGAGGGTGCGATGAAGACTGGGAACCAAAGTAGGAAGAACAGTGTTTTTCCACTAAAACAGGAGCAGCCACACTTCAGCCACTCACATTTACAAGAGATTTTCTGGTAATTTTTGCTCTGTCAGATGAAAGTGCTCTCTGCTACATGAAGATTAAAATTGCAGACCTTTGCCATGTGCGAGGGAAAATTACTTTAAAACTATATTCAGACAGAGATGGTATCTAAAAGTTAGTGTCCTGGTGAAAAGAGCTGAATATGATACTATTATCTAATGAATACATGTAGGAGGAGGCTTCAAAGACTTTGTTGGGCAATCCCATTATCTTTTCAGTTAATTATTCCACAAATGTGTTGAAGCTTCCGTGTATAACAGAATAAAACATTTCCTGGCCCTGCATCATCTCACAATCAGTTCCATGTTTGAGGCCATTTTTACAGCCTCTGTGTGTATAAGGCTCATTAACAAACGTCTTCATTTTGGCTGATGCTCTGCTTTACCAAGCATGATGGCCTTCTCTCGAAAATCTCTCCCGATAGCATGTCCAAAGTAAATGGATGAAGTCCTGGTCTCAGTGGAGCACTTCTTCCAATGCAGGTTAATTCATTCTTCTGGAAATGCATGGCACATTCAACACTCTCCTGAAGTCTTCCTGATGTCTTGTCCAGGTTTCACATGTATATGAGGTGACAGAAAGCACTGTGGATTGTGTCACAGGCACCTTAATCCTCAAAGTGATGTGCTTGTTTTTAAGATTTAAAGAGGTATTTTTCTGTGTCTTTGCTCAATGTTAAACATCATTTGATCTTTTGATGCTGCACCCATGAGCATTAATTTTGAATCTAAGGAAAATAAGATTCTGAATAACTTTAATGTTTTCTCTGTCTATAATGGTGCTACTTATTGTTCAACTATGAGATTTTTTTTGGGGGGGTGTTCTTTATATTGGGGTATAATTCATACTGATGGCAATAGTCTTTTATCTTCACCATTTTAATTTTTGTAAAAAAGTCTCTTTAACATGGCTTGAAAAACATCATTTCCAAGTCACATCTAATTTCATACAAAGACTCCATGAGATGTCTCAACAGTAATCATTGTTATTTGCAGACACTATAACAACTCTTTAACCAAGCATCAAAATTATGGAAATCAATAGTATATATAAAGTGTTTTCCAAAAAACTGCTGCCTTACCTTGGACACAGGCATTGCACATTGATTATTTCACATTATTCTACTTCTCCCCTAGCGACTAAAATAATGACTTTAGTTTGTTTATTGAAAGATGTAGTCGATGTCCTTCTGTGCTCAATTCATCCAGATCTTGCACTTCTCTGATAAGAAACTGCTTTCTTAGTTTACTGTACATTGAAGGAACAGAATAAAAAAAAGTTTCTAAAAACTGAGAAAATCATTGCTTCAAATTTCCTCAGAGAAATATTTAATTTACTTTGAAAATGTTTCCACCTATACGTTTTAGAACCTTGAATTTTTGAAAATGCTTGTCTACTCAATACATTGTGAAAAAATAGGAGAAAAAGAGGTATGCTCCCTTTTCTTTGCCTTTTTTCAGGTTTATTTCACTCAAAAGGTGGATGAATAACCAAACATCCACTTTTCCTTTCCCCTTTAAAATAAAGGAAAATGGTTTCTTCACCCACGTTTAAGTCATTCAATCTGAACTACACAAAATAAATGTGATAGAAGAAAGACAGTCATTGTCAACTTTAAAAGACATCTGGAATTAATTATATATGTGACAAACCATAAAGTAGGAGTATTTCACAAAGATAAAAGTTGAATTTAGTTCTCATTCAGCTATCAATCATTTTTATCTAAGTCACCAGAAATGAACTGAAAACGGGGTAGTATTAAAATAATAGACTTAGTTGGGAGGCATGATGGCATCCAGATTACACACGTGTCCCATCGCCCTACTATGGTGACATAGAAAAAAACTAGTGAACTATATACAGATGATAATTTTGGAACTCATGAGTACCTAATGAGAGGATAAAAATTTGAATTAAAGGCTGATTGAAAAGGGAGAGAGAACAAAAGCAGCGAACGAGGTCAGAGACAGCAGGAACCTCGGCTGTCTGTGGCCATTTTGAGATGCATAAGCAACACACACGTGAGAAGAAGCTTCTTTATGGGCTCGCTACTGGACCATAGATACAGTCTGGGCAGCTCCTGGCTGTAGCACGGTGAGAAGAATACAGGCAGTAGCTGTGAGAACAGAGTGTAGCCAAGCAGGCAAAATACCAGTGGCAAGTGACCGCTGAGCAAGGAGCATGCTAATAAAGGTGGGGAAAACAACACATTAGTAGACAATCCTAGCCATATGAATTGAGAGCCCACGTGAAAAAAAAAAAAAGATCTATGGGGTGGAGTGGAGACGTTAGACTTTGCCTCACCCTTCATTGAGTCTGGACATATACACAAAAAATCCAAACTCACTGCCATCGAGTCCTGCCAATTCAAAGGTAGCCCACCAGACCTGGTATTGTAGTGGTTATGCAATGGGCTGATAACCTCGAGATCAGCAGTTTGAAACCACCAGCCAGCTCCAAGGGGGAAAGCAAGGATTTCTACTCCCATAAAGAGTTGTAGTTTTGGAAATTCACAGTTACAGCTCTACCTTGTCCTACAGGTTTGGTATGAGTCTGGGCATAGCAAAAGAAGAGACTGAAAAAGTCAAAAATAAATTTTTGAAAAATAAAAGCCCTAGCTAAGATGGCTTTATTGGTGGAGAATACTAAACATTCAGAAATGACCTGACACCAATGCTACTCAAACTATTCTGCACCATTGAAAGGATGGAATTATTCCTAATTCATTTCATAGAGTAAGTAAAACCATGGCAGCAAAGCCACCTACAGGCACCACTAAAAGAGAACATTACAGACTTAAATGTAGGCACAAGTATCCTCAACAAATTTCTGAACAGTAGAATCCAGTAAGCATAGAAAAAAGAATATACAACATTATCAAATGGAATTCATACCAGATATAAATTCATAAATAAAACAAAGTGAAAGAACCACAGGGTCATATCAGTTGATGCAGGAAAGGCATTTGACTAAACCCAACATCGATTCTTAATAAAAATTTCATAGGAATAGAAGGGAAATTACTCAACATAATTAAGGGCACATACAGAAAATTAACAACTAACATTATTCTCAAAAGAGAGACTGAAAACATTTCCCCTGCAAACAGAAACTAAGCAAGGATACCATGCCTATGCCTTATTGTATTAGAAACCCTTGCCAGAGGACTAAGGCAAGAAACGGAAGTGAAAGCAATCCAAATTGGTAAGAAGTAAATGTACCTCTATTTGTGAATGATACAATCCTAGGCATAGAAAACCCAAAAGACTCATCAAGAAAATTACTGAAGCTAATTGAAAGATTCAGCAAACTGGCATGGTCCAAAACTAACATTTAGACATTAGTGGGATTACTTTACACAATGAAGTAAGTAAGATGAAATCTCACCATCCTTGCATCTAAAGAACATTCTGGTTGGACTCCTTCCAAGACAGATCTGATTAGGTTGTTTGTGTTTCGGGCAGTCCTTGGTACTTTGAATATTCTTCGCTAACACCGTAGTTCAAATGCATCAACTTTTCTTTGGTCTTCTTTATTCAGTGCTCAACTTGAAGTTGTTTCTTCTGATGTTGAGTTGTGCCCCATTAGCAAATGAAGGTCCCTAAGGTTTCAGTCCCACAGGGCTCGGTCCCACCGAGTTGTGAACGTGTATCGTTGACGTGGACAACTCTACGTTAAGAAGGCAGATCCTGCTCAATCCTATTCAAGTGGATTCTGACTGGAGGGGCCATCCTCTGGCACTATCTCTGATAATGTGCTGCTTTCGTTCGTTAGGCCTTCAGCATCCATCAAGGATTTGTCTCTATGGATAAAGGTTTCCAGCGGCTACTTCCTCCTAAGTCAGTGGTTCTCAACCTCCCTAATGCCACGACCCTTTAATACAGTTCCTTATGTTGTGGTGACCCCCAACCATAAAATTACTTTCGTTGTAGTTTTGCTACTGTTATGAATCATAATGTAAATATCTGATATGCAGGATGGATTTTCATTCCTACAGATTGAACATAATTGAAGCATGGTGATTAATCAGAAAACAATATGTAAGTATATATTGTGAAATATTTATTTATTTAATTTTTTTTGGTATTACAGTGAATGTCCTTTAATTTTATGTTGTGCAATTAACATACTTTGTTGTAATTTTACTTATGTAGAAAACTTTCCTTTAGATTTCAAAATGTACATTACAAAATGACCAATGAATTCCACTTCACAGATAGAAATAAGATGATCTCACGTTCCAAAGGAAAGACACTTGTGCTCCAACAGCATTATTCCACATCCTCTATGGGTCTAAGCCACACTGCTCAAGACATGTTGGTGATGGTGTCTTCTTCCATCTCCTCTTCACCACTATCAGTGGGTCCTTTTGCTTTTTAGGAATGATGTTCTTGATGCCATCCCACAGCTCATCAGGTTCTGTCACTGGAGTTGAATGCAGCAAATCTGTTCCTGATCGACGCTCTCTGCCGGGTGTCTGACCAGACTGCAGCAGCCCCTTCAGCCGCTCCACTTCAGCCAGAGTGGATGCATTTGCTATAGCATTCTTAATGGCTTCTACATCCCCCGGAGATGGCCCACCTTTTTTTCCATCAGTTGGCAAACCAGCACCTGGATTAAAAGTTTTGCTTCTCCTGGCAATATCCTTTGCAAGTTGTGCACCCCGTTTGCCCTGGAACATTTTCTCTGCTTCCTGACGCTCTTTTAGTTTCACTTTCTGGAAGTCCAGTACTCTGACTTGTGGAACTTTATAAATTACATATAGTCTGTAATGCTTCTTATTTGTTACAGGATTTCTTAAAATACTTAGATAAGTCAATGATTTGAGAGATGCCAAAGGGTCGAGATCACCCAGTTCCACAAGACTGTTGTTAGTAAGGATGAGTTCTGTCAAACAGGGTAGAGACTGATCAAGTCCCTCAAGTGTACGGCATATTCTGTTGTTGTTCACCAATCATGTTTTCAGTCTTCTCAACAGAGGGAAACCATCTAGTTTCCTGATTTCATTGTCAGAAAAATCAATAGCATCACACTGGTCTAAGGCAGCACCTAGATTTTCAATGACAGGAATTTTAGAACCTCGAAGGTCCAGCCCCCTGTCCCTTCAGCTTTGTGAATGGGCTTCTGGCAGTGCACATGGGGTGTCAGGTAGATTTGGAAAGTATGATGAAATTTCATCTGCAAGCATGTGCAAATGTTCTTTCACAGAAATTATCATCATCATCCTTTTGTCTGGTTCAATGTCATGTTCCTCCAAGAAAGCAGATAAGGTGAGCAACATGTAAATTTTATTTTCACCCAACTTTTTTTTTTGGTTTTTTTTTTGCCAAAGCTGAAGTTTCATTTGGAATGATCGGATCTTTTCAGACACATCAAAGAATGTTGCATTTGGTCCTTACTGTGATAAATTTAACTCATTCAAGATGGCAAAAAAGTCAACCAAGTAAACTATTTTCTGTAGTTCACTTTGTCACTAAAAAGCCATTCAAACTACAGTCTTGCTTTCTGATTAAAAAACGTTTTGAGTTCATCACGAATCTCAAAAACATGTTTTAAAACTTTTCCTCTGGACAACCATCTCACTTCAGTGTGAAATAGCAGAGCATTATTCAGCACATCCAACTCATTGCACAGTTGGGAAAACAGTCGACTGTTGACAGTGCTCACATTTACAAAATTGACAGACTTTATGATGGTTTTCATTACTTCCCGCAACTCTTGTGGAAGCACCTTCTTTACTAATATTTGCCAATGAATCATACAGTGAGTTCTGATGACTTTTGGTGACTCATTCAGTACCAAACATTGAAATCCAGATTGACATCCTAGCATAGCTGGAGCACCATCTGTGCAAACACCACAAACCTTTTCTCAAGAGATCTTATGCTCTTTCAGAGATGAACCAGCTGTGTCAAATACATCATCTGCAGTAGTTGTCATTTCGAGAGGTTTTCAAAAAAGAAACTCATCTTTAAAGTCGCCATCATTAATATGCCTCATGTAAATCAGTAACTGTGATCAGTTTGCAACTTCTGTAGATTTATCAAGCTGGATGCTAAATATTGGAAGTGGAGCAGATTTAATTCCTGGATTACCTGATCAAGGATATCAGCAGACATGTCATCTATTCTTCTGCGGACAGTGTCCTTAGATAAGGAAATTGCACTCAATTTCGTAACAAATCCGTCTCCATTCTTAACTCTAACAATGTCTTTGGCCACTGGCAACAGTAAATGCTCAGCAATGGTGTATGGTTTCATAGCTCTGGCAATTCTGAGAGCCACCATATGTGAAGTTTCAATGGCTGCTATGTTTTGTTTGTGGTACTTGCCACCAATGTCAAGTCTGGCTTTCTTGAGTCCATCAGCTTTGCTTCTAAAATAGTTGGTATCCTTGCCGGCAAAGCTCAGATATTTGCTATCAAAATGGTGTTTCAGTTTGTTCAGCTTCATAGATTTGGCTGATAGAACTTCACAAGAAATAACACATTGCAGTTTCTCAATTCCTGCTGTAATTATGGAGGTAAAACCATACTGTAAAAAACCCTCACTATATTTTCTTTTCTTAATGTTCTTCTCTAAACGATCCATTATCATGGGATGGTTTGCTAGTGAAAATAATATACAATAATTGCTTTAATAATATAAAAGATTATACATGGCATAGTTCAGTCAGTACAGTTCATTAAAATTTCCTATGATTTGCCATTCTGTTTATTTTTTACATACCTGTTACTGTCACAAGGGGGCAGTATTCACATCAACCACAGCTGAATATAATAGGACCAATAAGCATCCAGATTAAGTTGCCATGGTACAGATCTACAAATATATTTTTTGCAGTAGTTGATGATTTTACAGTACATGATTTTACATTTATCCAGCAATTATACTTTATGAAGTGTCATTTTTACCTCCAATACTGCTGCTTTCAACACCTTAACTGCTTTTAACAGAGTAGCTGCTTTCAACACAGCAGCTGCTTTCTACCCAGTAGCTGCTCTCTACACATGCGTGACTGGTCCGCATAAGTACATTATGGTGCCAACATTGTCACAAACAGCTGTATTTGTATGGGATGTATGTGATGGGATTGGCACAATGATGTCATCACGCAGGGTATTCATATGTGGGCATATCTGCCTGGAGATGGATAGAGGAGTGGTGTCTCTGTTTCTAAGACCATTGGAAATATGTGTTTTCCAATGGTCTTAGGCAACCCCTGTGAAAGGGTCGTTCGACCCCCAGAGGGATTGCTACCAACGGGTTGAGAACCACTGTCCTAAGTGGATAGCCAATTCCTTCTTCATATTCAGTCTTTATTGGGAAGCTCCACTAAGACGTGTTCAAGTTAGGAAAACCTGCTGGCATTTCAAATACCAGTAATATAGGTTCCATCACCACAGCAGCACGTCAACCACCACTGTATGACAAACCGACAATCAGTGGTAGTCAAGTTTCCAGTGAGAGCAAACACTCTACAATGCTCTTCTTAACTGGGCTGGATCCGTTTATTATCATAGTGTTATTTCCATAAGCACTGATACCAGCTTTAGTAATCATCGCAGATTCCGATGAAACTAGAATATGCCAGCAACACAAACAAACAAAAAACAAGTTTGCTGTTCTTGAGTCCATTCTCATTCAGGTGATCCCGGATGGTCAAATAGAGCTGATCTAAAGGGGTTCCAAGGCTCTGCTCTATAGGGAAGTAGCTTTCTGCTTCTTTGTTCCAAAGAATGCCTGAGGGAGGGGCTTGAGCTGCTGCTCTGTAGATTAGCATGTGAGTGCCTAACACTGTGCCATCTGGACTCTTTAGAATATACCTACATATATATTTCTAAGTCTAGCTGAAGTAATTGAACACATTATAGTAATCATTATTTCAAATATATACTATGCCTGGAATAGTACAGAATAACTATTATATTTATTTGGGGATTCAAATGACCATTTAAACATATATTAAAGTTGAGGTATTATTTCAGCTCAAATTTGTAAATGCATGTTATTATTTAAGCTAAATACGTTAATCTTATTTGAAAAAGTGATCTTTTTAATGTATACACTATTTATAACTACTGCATTGGCAAGGTCTCCTTTAATCCTCACAACCATCCTATGAAATCACATCAAAATGCCTACTGCCATTGAGTTGACTTTGACACCCGGCAACTGTGTTTTCTTGGCTTTAAACTTTATGGATACAGATCACTAGACTTTTCTTTTGTGGTTTAGCTGAATGGGTTTGAATTATTAACCTTTAGGCTTATAGACAAGTGTGAATTGTTTGTACCACCAAGGAACCTACCTATGGAACAAGTATCATTTTCAGATAAGAAGAGCATGAGTCAATGAAGCAATTATGGAGCTTTCCCATTGGCATTTGAACCCAGCTCTGACTACTTTGGCCTTTATCTCCCATTAGACACTCTCAGCACATGCCCACAGATGGTGAGATAGTAGTAGCAAGCTTTTATTGTTCTGTTCCCACTAGAAATTTCATAATTTGTTCATGACCCGCAAATAGCATTCTATTCTTTGGATTGTATCAGTCAGTTTTGGAGACCTGGAGACAGAGAGATTTCCAGAAAGATCTTGAAGAATGTATTTTGTTGCCTGAATAACAGGTAAGATGCCTATGGTAGTTTGTAAGATGGGAGAATAAAGCTGGTTTTAGCTGGTGAAGGCCGTTAGTGTGCCCTTTGCAGATGCAGGAAGATAACACAGAAAAATAACACAGAAAAATACTCGTAAGAGACTCTGGTTCTGGCGTCATTAAACCAGATGAAGGATTTATTGGGAGGATAATAGTCCTCTTTGTGGGCTCCTCAGGGACCTCAGCAACAGGGTTTGGGAGTTTTCTTCAAAAGTGTGACCAATATCACCCAGACTAGTCTCTGCATTCCAAGTTTTAATCTCTGTGAGAAAGAATCCAGTTGCCTAACGATGGAGTTGTGGCCAGGAGGGCCTGCCTATCTGCGGTTGACTCCTCTAGATTGGGACCCTTTCCCAATACTGGGAATTTGTTTTGAGTTACAGAGTTGCCCTTTGTGCTGTCTGCCATAGGCAAATGTTTCTATTTCTTTTCCTCTAGCTCCTTTGTAGTCTAGCACAGGTTTTGGAGTCTCCTACTAGAAATAAGAGGGCTGATATGAATGGCTATAAGTCATGTAAGACACGGAATGAGACCCATGGATGCTGTTCCTCTCTCTCATTTTCCAGTTTGATGATACTCCAGTCATTTGTACCATTCAAAGTCATGTGGGGATTTTCATATGTGAGTCACAGAGCCCATTATCTAAGAAAGTTAAGCAGTGCCTCCAGGCTGAATAGAGTTTTTATAATATTTCAGAAGACTGAAAACATTTCCTTTCTCTCCTTCAATAGAAGATTTTCTCTAAATGTGTTTTCATACCTCTGAGAACTCTCATTTGTTTGTGTACTAGGATTCATTGGGCAACACCTGTGCTATGCCTAGTATGGAGCTAAGTGCTGTCAATACAAAGAATATGAGGCAAGTCTGAACACAGAGACTTCATCGTCTAGTAGAAAGGATCAACACACAGGCTGATTGATGATGGCGACACAGAAGACAAAAAATGCTGATGGAAATGGTGGTTTGCGTTGCCCAATAGACCCTTTCCCCCATAAAACACCCGTAACTGGATATAAAGCAATCTTTTTGTCTGGAAATAGACCTAAGGACATACTACAAATTTTGAAACTTTATTCAAGAAAACGTACTAAATCTTAATAAAGATGACAAAAGTAATAGCATTCCATTCAAGGCCTGTTCCTGCATCCCAACTCACTGCGATTAAAGTAAATATGACCAAGAAGATGGGATTGCCTTTCCACTAGTCTTCAGTGTAAGGTTACACTTTCTTCCTGGGTGCGCCAAGCCACTCGCATTTCTTTCCCCATGTTGTATTACTTCTACTACAGAAAAGTATAGCCCAGGGGTCTGGGCCAAGTCCTCCTCCTAGCCTGCATTCATAGATCTACCCAAGATGCAAAAAAAATTGAAGATATTTGCTGTAATCATCCTCAACCCAACTTACTTGTATGTAAAGGTTTCATATCAAGAGATGATGGCTATA